GTGTATTGACCACTAACGGTGGAGTAACAGTTAAGGGTGGGAGGGCCTGAAGGCATCTCGATAACAGCAAGAACTGTGCATTGATAATTCGAGCCTTCTTGACGGCTGAGCACTACAGCATGAGCCGGAGGTTGATATGATTGCCTCGTCCCTGATCTTGTACGCTTTTTTTCTTTTTTTTTTTTTAATGCTATTTGATTTCAGATGGCTTTGCCAATGGGTCTCTGTGGCTCTTCAAATGGTACAGAAGCAAGTGTTGTTTCACATGAGATGATCACGAAAAGCCTGGAATCTTTAGAAGACCCTAGGCAAAAAGTAAGAAATTTTTCATTTTGCTCTAGCCAAATGTTGTCATTTGATGGAGCAATCCTTATCTGTTTGGGATATGCTCATAACAGTTTTTAATAAATTTTTGTTGCACTTCTTCGCTCCATCGTCCTACGTCACAGTCATGTTCGCTTTTTAGTTTTCGTCAGTGACCACGTTTCGTATCCGTACGTCATTATCTTCAACACAGTGCCGTTGAAAAAATGGGCACGATCCTTCGAGTTTGACACTTTAAAGATATCAGCCATGCTATGGAATTTGCGCCAGCTGGTAGCTCTTCTCCAGTTGGAGATTTCGGCGCATATTTACCTGTTGTCCGAGACAGACTAACTGTCTTTCAAGTCCGCATCGTCTGTCTGCAGCCTTGCCGCGATTATGCTTATTCTTTGCATCACCCTTGTTTTCGATACGTTGGTTTCCAGACCTATTCCCTTCGTGCATTGTTGCGTAAGGATTGTTAGCAATAAAAGTTGTCCCATCCGCGAAGAGTAAGTGATTTAGGTGCTCGTTATTGGTCTTCAAATGACCTTTTTGGTCCAATTTTCGAAATATTTTGAAACAGGCCACGAAGAGCTTAAGCGATATGGGCTTGCCTTGCCTCACTTCCTTCTCGATCAGAAAAAAGGCCACGTCTGTTGATCAGCCTATGTTTGATTGCTTAACATTTTCCGCGTACTTCCCACCAATCCGTCCATTTACAAGAGCTTGAAGCGCAGCATTCAGCGCTAGTCTATCGAGTACTTTTTTCGTAATTGATGAATAAGCAAAAAAGAGAGAAGCACTCCCTTGGACGTTCCAACCGGCTGGTTCAGAACGAAAATCTGGTGCATCGTGTTTTAATTACTTTCGAATCCAGCTTGCTTCCTCGGCTGCTGCTCATCGAGAAATCTTTTTGGTCAGCTGCTGTTGATCTTCATGAAAAGCTTGTGAATTATGGGAGAGGAGGCAGATGAAGCAGTAATTCTTCAGATCTTTTTTGTTGTCTTTCTGTGCAGTAAAACACACCTTTTTGTGTTTCCTCTACCATTATTCATTCGTTTCGACAGCAAATTGGTGCTAACATATATTAGACATTCATACCCGTCAGTGGTTTACTTCCAAGCAACCATTAAAAGAATAAACCTTGGCTAGTTTCGCTAGCGGGCAGTTGCTCTTGGCATTCGCTGTCACTTGGGCTACTTTTCAATTTTCATCGCCTCTTACAAAGAACGAATAATTAAAAGCGATACGGATGCAGTGCGTCCAAACATGTTTGTGTTTAAAAATTTGTTCTGGTGAACGTTGTCACTCCCTTCCTATTTACTGCAGACGCACTTCTTTGCACTTTGGCTGGTGTTGCTTTCCCGTTAAAGGCAAAAAAAGCAGTTTGTCGGGCAAAAAGCAGTAAAGTGAGTCCACAAATTCGCTGAATTGTGCGCGGCTTCGTTGGAAGAAGGAGCCCGGCCTGGAATAAAGTTGTGGAGTATTCGACGTCTTAGGTCATTCTGAGTTCGAAATTCCATCGAGATCATTTTGGCCGCTGCGGAGCTCTGGCATAATTGACCTGGATTTTTCAAGAATCTGCGAGGGCGATTTTCTCTATACGATTTTCGAGTTCGGGGTTCTCGTTTTGCTTCGGTGACTATTCATATCAAAATGTGTATTTTGCAGGATTTCATCGCGAGCTGTTTGAATCCCGACCCATCGAAAAGGCCAACTGCTCGCGATCTGTTGTTCCATACCATTCTGTTTGAGGTAAATACGGAAATGCTTTTATTCTATAACTTATGGATATTGAGGAGCATTTATTTGAAAGTTTGTTAATGAGAAATAAAAATTTAATCCGATTATTATAAGAAAAAAAGACTGTTTTGTAAGTGAGATTTTTCCGGTGCTTCAGGTGCATTCCTTAAAATTATTGTCTGCTCATTGTATTGTCTCAGCGAAATTGAATGACAGTTTAAACGAAGATGACTTGCATGTGTCGGATCCGAACCGCATTGCAGCTTCATCGAAGTTTCGTACAATGGCTTTCAATGAAGTCCCAGCTTTTCAGGTAACCACCTTAGTCTTCACCCACACATCGTCTTTTTTTTAAAACAGATTTACATTTTTTCTTAAATACTGCTTACCTCTGCGCAGAATTAACGTTGCTTGGATTTGGTTCGAAACTTCGATGGTGTTGAGGTGCAGGTGCTGAATTGCATGTTTGAAATTATTACATGCTTCTATATTGTCGTGAAGTAATAGGTGCATTAACAAACTATGTAATATAGCTGTAGCTTGCATTCGATGCAAGTTTTATTTCAGGTATTTGTTGTTTATTGCCAT